CTTCCGGCTCCGTCCCTGTCGGGGCCACCGCAGCCAGCAGGCGTCGTCTCTCACACGTGCCCGCCTACCCTCCGGGCCCTCGCCGCCTTCCGGGGTGGGGTAGACTCTCAGGGTACCCTCACACGTCCCTTCAGGACCTCAGAGAAGAAAACAAGGGGCTGGCGCGCAGTTTGACAGATGCTCGGGCGCGTCTGGCGTTCCGTCGTCAAGCGAGGAACTGGAGAGCCAGGGACATGCTTCACCGTGTGTCCGTCCCTGGGCAGAAAGGCCGAGACCTGCGACTGATGTGCAGTGTTTTCAGTCTCACTGAACTCATAGATACCTACTTATTTTTAGAGCGGGAGGAGGGGGAGGAGGAGAGAGAGGGGAAGGGACTTGTCGCTTCGCTCATTCACGCACTCAGCGCCTGCTGCCTGCCTGTGCCCGGGCCGGGCTCACACCCGCGCCCGGGGCGCCTCGGGCGGTGCTTGAACCAGCTGAGCACCTGGCAAGAGAGAAGGCCTTTCTCCCCGTTCACCATTCCATTTATCTCAGCTCTGCTCTTTATCATGTAATTCCTGCAGCTAACTTTGGGTTCAGTCTGTTCTTTTTCTAGTTCCTTGAGATGTAAAGCTAATTCATTTGATATCTTCCTTTTGGAAAAAAAAATTTATTTTTAGAGAAGGGGTGGGAGGAGGAAAGAGAGAGAAACGTCGATGGGCTGCGGCCACCTCGACCGGGGACCTGGCCTGCAACCCAGGTGTGCGCCTTGATGGGGAACCCAACAGGCCACCCGTCCGTTTGTGGGACGACGCCCAACCCACTGAGCCACGCCAGCCAGAGTGAGACATCCCCTTCTTTAGGATAAGAAACTTTATTATTTTTCTTCAAAAATCAGGTTTTCTCCCTCCTCTTTTGGCTTCAAAGCACATGGAGTGCCGTTCTGCAAACCCCGCGAGGCAGCAATGAAGCGGTAGGAGCCGGGAAGCCGACCGCGGGTGGGGGGGGTCGGGGGCGGGGGTGTGCCTGGGGCTGATGAGCGGCAGCTTCCAGGAACTAGCTCATGGCTTTCAGCCCCTCCCTCTCCGGGAGACAGGAGCCCGAGAAGGAAGCTGTGTCTCCCCCCGGCTCCCGTCTCCCGCCACCCCCCCCGCCCCCGGCCCCACAGCCTGGCCAGAGGGCTGCTCTGCCCTCCTCGCTCCTCCGGGGTCGCGGTGGGAAGGCGGTCGTTGGGTTCCGCCTCCACGCAGCCTGGCTCTGGGCCTGCGGCTGCCGGGACGGTCCAGCCGCGTGCGCTCCCGGCTGGTTGAGCTGCGGTCGCCTTCTGTGCTGGCTGATGCCAGACCGGGTGCCAGCCGTTCTCCTGGGGTGGCCGGGTGGGGGCGCCACTGGAGGTCGCATCCCCGGTGCAGACGATGAGCCACAGAACTGAACACCGGACACCTACCTAGTTTTATTAACCAACGTCACCCCAATAAATTAAACTAAAAGACAAAAGAAACAGCATCCGCAGACCCAGCCTCGAGGACATGGCTTTGGACCAAGGTGGCGTGTCTGTCCACCCCTCCATTACTGACCTGCACGGTTCCGGGAAGTCCCCTCGTTTTTATCGACAAACTCAGCAGTTTCTTCAGAAACTTGGCTTGGTGTTGGGTCTGCCTAAAAAAGCTCCGCGCGTTTGGGGTGGAGGGAAGACAAGGCTCGGCCCCGCGGGGAGGCAGGCCGGCGGGCAGGAGGGTTTCGGACTGGGGCGTGTGGGTGCCGTTTCCGGGCGATGGAGAGGGTCTCCTCGAGCCCCCTGCGGAAGATGGGCGCGTCTTCAGTCCCGCCTGAGGAAACAAAGAGCCATCTAGCCGCCAACAAGGCAGGATCGGGGGACAGGGCACGCCTCTGGGGCCCGTCCTGCAGAGATCGGCGTCCGAGGCGGAGCCGCCGAAGCAGCAGGCCCAGGTCTGCTGGACTCGGGTCAGACAAGGACCGTGAACGCGGTGACGGCCCACGGGGGTGGCGCGGCCGGCCCTGGCAGCTTCGAAGGGACAATCAATTATACAGAGACCATTGAAGGCGGCCTCTGTCTTTTGAGCCAGTAGCGGTGGCTTGGAGCCAGCCCCTGAAAACAACTGCAGAAAGACAGGCTTTCTTGAGGTGGTTTTCTGGTCATTTTGACTGAAGCCAAGCCAAGCCAAAACAGAGCATCATCTTCCAGGAATTCCCCCCCCCGCCCCCCCCCGCCAATCGTAGCAGAAAATCTCTGTAGTCTTGGCAACACTTCTCACTTGGGGCGTAGGGTGGGTTCTGGACATGAATGGCTTGTTTCTTTTCTCAGGGACAGTCCCCTCCCCGTGTCTACATCGGTGGTCCCCAGAACCACCCTTTCACGTGGAGAACCGCTGCAGCTACAAGCAGCTGTGCAGGCAGGCGCCCGAGGGCCAAGGTGATCAGAACGGAGCGAAACTGACGGAATCAGGGCAAGGCCGTAGAGAATCTGATGGAATTGTGGCCTTCATTCACTTTTAGGTAATTTCATTTTACTCAAAGGAGGCTTGATGAATGACTTAAAAGGAATTCAGGAGGTTAGCATTTAACTGTGGTCTAACGTACATCAAATGCAGAACCAAATTCCCGTATCTCCTGCCACGCTTGAGAGAGTGGATGTGGATGTTGCTGCGTGCGCCACGGGGGCCAGGACCACTGCCAGGCGCTCACGGAAGACCAGCTTGCGTCGTCCTCGCTGCTGGCCCGAAGGCAACACGCCCACCACTTTGGTAGCAGCTCTGCAAACAGAAGGCATCGTGACGTCAGACCTCCGTCCGCTGCCTTTGCTCCAGGAGTTGGATAAGCTACCCGCTTGGGCTTCCCTGGCTCTGGATCGGTTTTCTGTGGCTGCTTCACAAGTAACCCCCAAGTCTAGCAGCTTAAACGCCGCCTATCAGCCTGGGTTTCTGCGCGGGCAGCCTGGGAGCGGCTCACTGGCTGCAGCTGACGTGCTGAGGCCACCGCGGGGCTCCGGCTGGAGGAGGGCCCCTTCCACGCCCCTCATGTGTCAAAGTTGCTCTTTGCAGGTGTCTATGCCACGGTGCCTGTTGGCTTGAAATTCCCATTGCTTGTCCCTTGGGCCCCTCCATAGAGCACCTCAGAGCGGGGAAGCCTGAGTACTGGCGGGCCGGCAAGACAGAGGCCAGAGCCTGTCCCCCGACCTCAGAAGTAACAGGTCACTTCGGCCTTGTTCTGTCCCTTAGAGGCAGGGCACTAGGTCCAGCTCACACTTACGGGCAGGGGCTGCAGCAGGTTGCGCACAGGGAGGCAAGGATGGCTGGGAGCCTCTTAGGAGCGTCCTAGCGCAGCTTTCTTCTTCTTGTCGTCATTATTGATTTTAGAGAAATGGCGATGTGAGAACCATCTACGGGTTGCCTCCCATATGGGTCCTGACTGGGGATTGAACCTGCAACCTTTTGGTGTGCGGGACAACACTCCAGCTGAGCCACCCTGCCAGGGCTACTGTTTTTATTTATTAAAATCGACATCCCTAGAAGTGAGGTCGCTCCATGACCGCGTGTGAAAGGCAGAGGTTACTACACGAGCCTCTTGCAGTGAGCACGCGGTCTGCTACTTGGTGTGTGTTTTCAGAGCCAGATTGTCTTCTGAGATGTTACCCGTAACAGAGTGAAAGTAACGCCTGGGTCTTGAACGACCTCCCTCCCCCGCGATTCACACGACCATTTTTTCATTCAAAATGTGTGGCTGCTTCTGTGATCAACCACTTGGCAGAGCCAAGCCAGGAACAGAAGAAGGGAACCAGGTTTGAAATGCTTGGCCGAATACCCAGATCTGCGGTGCAAGCCCTTCCAGCTGTCAGCAGCCTCTGCGCCGTCTCAGTGATGAGCGTGCGGGCTCGGGGGCCTGCGGGCGCCGGGTCTCCCGGTGTCTGACAAAGCTGGGATGGCGAGAGCACTTTTGTATAAAAGCTGTTTCTTGACCCTGAAGAACACAAAGGAAAATCGCTTTGTAACTATTTTCAGGGATGGACCAGCACAGACCACCTTTCTCTTTCCTCTTCCTTCGCTCTGCGGTCTGTGGTGGCGGATCACAGAGCCCGGGGCCCTGGCCTCCGCCCGCCTCCTCCTCAGCGGCCCCTCGCCCTCGATGAGGGCCGCTCGTCCGTCCTGAGCCGTGTGGCCGATGCCCTGTGCGGCTCACAAGGACAGCGTGCTGTGACAGCCACTCACTCTGGGATCCCGCTGCAGTGAGTCGCCGCGGCAGGCTGCGTCCTGCAGAGGACCGAAGACCAAGTAATTTTTTAAGAAGTTCAGCTTCGCCTGAAGATTTGAAAACTTCAAATGGCTTCCAGTGCGATAGCCTGAGGCGTGTGTGTGTGTGTAAAAAATACATATACATATACATATATACATATCGGAACTACAATACTTTTACTTTGGAAGCTTCTAGATGGGAAATGCCAGCTTGGCCCTTGGAAGGAAGTGAGGATTCGTGGCCACTTCTAAGGACTTTGGAGATTGAGGCCAGCAAAACCATCAAAATACAAGTTTTTATTTCAGGTTCAGGGCAAATTCTTCACTGTGAAGTGTCAAATCCAAAATTAGCCTATGAGATTCTCACGTGGCCTGGAAGTTCCTCTCTAAAAGAAAAACCCATTATTTAAAATGAAACTTTACCCCAGGCAGCACAAACTGGCACTCAGTTTCCTGGGCTTTTCTAGTCATTCAGCCAACCACAGAAGTATATGAAAAAGTTACTAAAGAAAAGCAAAGTCAGAATTTAGAATTTGTTATCAGTCAAGGTATGTAAAACACGGGCAACTGATTTTGCTGGGAGCAAAAAAAAAAACCAAACAACAACAACAACAAAAAACCCCCGCTTATAATAGTTCCGAACTCAAATCATTCTCCAAACTCAAGACATACAGCACACAAATGTTTAATTTCTAGAGGATACACTGTTTCCTTTGGGTTTAAAAAAGATCACAAAAGCAGAACACTGAATCTCTTTCTGTCAAGCCTGTAAATGGTTAACAAACTTTGTTTTATTAAGGATTCACAGTAGTTCTCTTGCTGAGTTTGTAGGTGCCAAGAACTCATGGCAGCAAAATTGCAGAATGACATAGTTTACACAGTAAAGAGAAAAAAGTTAAACAATGCTTTGATAAAAAAACGGTTATAAGAGAAATTACATTTTAAATCAGAATGACAAGCTTATGTGGACCGTCGGGGCTGCTGTTTAAACTGCTTGGCTTTTAGAACTCAGAGAGGGAGGCCCCAGGACGCAAGGGCACGGTTCCGAGCTGCGAGACCCGCTTCTCTGGCTCCAGTCTTCTCATTAACAAAGTTGGACCAGATCCTCTTTCTTGGATCTTACAACACCCAAGGCCTCAAGGTTCCCTCTCACCAGTCTGATGAGTCGGATCCAAGACATATTCTTTTTACTACGTGAAATGAAGTAACATGAACAGTGCAGCAGACACCAGCTTGCAAGAGTGCATCCTTCCTTGGATTGAGAACTGTTCCCGGAACCACAGGGCGTTTCCTGTCCCAGTTCTTCCGGGGACACACCTCCGAAGGCAGCCGTAGGGCCGACGCCCTCTGCGGCTCACAAGGCTCCTCAGGCGACAGTGAGTCTGTCCAACGCTTCAGAAGCAGACAGCGCCCCCCACAAAAGGAGCCTCATCCTTTGGTCCAAAACACGTTAGACGCGGGTGGTCATCGGGCTTCCTGCGACGTGTAGGATCTGCCGTGTCCCAGAAGGCAGGCTGATGACACTTTGTAGAGCTGTGGTTGATGCCACTCCTGAGTGGAGGGGGTCCCCACAGATGGGCACTTTCTCTCGCATGTGAACACTGGGCACCATGTTCTCTGTAAAGGGTGCGCTAACTCCCACAAGGTGGCTAAATTCCACCTTCCACTAGTAAGATTTATGGCTTTTACTTTAGTAAACAATTGGAAAAGTTTTCTCACCGACCTCAAAGATAAAAGACTCTATTTACAACAAACAATGAGCATTATGCTAGTAATAACGCCTACTGTTTAGTAGTTCTGTTCTCCTCTTAGCCTGCCGAATACTTGCCTAAGAGCTCAAGGAGGTCAAACACCCGTCTCCAGTTCAGCGAAGGCCGGCGCGGCGCGGCGGCCGAGGCTGGCTGAGCGCGCGGTCCCCGTGCCACGGCGCCTTCGCCGGGCTCAGATGTACCGCTGTGGCCTCTCCGTGCAGTTCGGAATTTTAAATTCTAAGGAGATGTGGTCTGGTTAAAACCCTCTCTTTCTTTAGAATAAGAGAAAACCAGCCTCAGTGTTTGGGTTTTCTACTGTGAAAAACAAAAACGATTTCGTTGGTTCTAGCAGCCAGAAGATTGAGAGCCAAATTTGTTGTCCCAGCTTTACTCGCTGTGTTGTGCTGTTTCCACATTAAATGTGTTCTTTAAAGGCTGTGTTTGATAGGCCTCTTCATGCTTATTTCAAGAACGTGATACAAATTTCAAAAATAAAGTTATAGTGACTATAGGTAATGTAGTTCAGCATCCTGTAGTATTTTCTACTATAATTTAGATGTTAAATATGGATAACAGCTGTTTTTACAATGGATATTATATTTTACATAGAAATATGCTAATTTTCCCTTCATCATCATGGAAAATGAGATCAGTTGTTATGGTATTAAGTATTTACTATGTTGTTCCAATGTTGGCTGGCAAGTTACCTATTAAAAGGCCTACTCAACACAGCTTTTGAAACACTTGAGCTATTTCTCTGGCTCTGGTTCATTAATTTATAGAACAGTACATTCATGAAGTCTTTTTACCTTCCCAAGTTGCATTTTTAAAGTGAGAAATTAGGCTGACCTAAAAAACCCTCAAATCATGAATATACACTATGTGCATATTTTCCTCTCTTCTGGATATTATATATTTTTTAAAAATAAAAAAAGTGATAATAAAACTCATTTTGAGGAAGTATTACATATGTATCATTTAAGGTCACAGTTTCCACTAATCTGAGAAAACACAGACGTGATATTTAAAAGAATTAACAAAACCCAGTCAAATTTCAATTTCTCAATTCATTGAGAATTTACTACAAAAACCATAGGAAATGAGAATGTATCCTGTTTAAATGGCATGTCTGTATTCGTTATAATTCAATAAACAAATTCTTTTCCATATATATCTAAGATCCAAAATCTCAGTGCTATAAATAATATGATTGAAGAATCATGTAACAATGTATGTTTTAATGTAAGATGTGTGTAGTGATGTAGAACAATAAATACCACACAGTGGAAATTTCTATCATAAACCAAATGCAATAACAAAAGGACAGAGAAAGCTCATGTACACACGACTGCGACCTTTACAGTAAGTTACAGTGCACACCCCCCTCGGAGCTTCTCTGGATACAAAGCTGCCGCTGGGGCACCCAGAGAAACCTGTCACGCGAGGCTTCAATCTCGATTTAATAAAGCTTGCACAGTATCAAATAATATCAAAAGTCTGAAAAAGCACAATGGATCTTTGCATCACGTTTATAAATTATTGTTTCTATGCCATTAAAAAAAAAAACAGAACGTCAAAAGTGCATTTAAAAAAAAAGTGGAAGTTGTTATTCTTGGTAAGACCTAGAGACATGCATCGCCCCAAGTGAGAAGCGATGTGAAGGCCCCTACAGCTTCGTAGGGGTTTCCCCGTCCCTCCCAGGCAGCCTTGGGCGCCGTGCACTCCGAGACAGACCAGCGCAAAGGGGGCCACGCAACCCCGTCGTGAAAATAACAGGAGACACGTCTGCTGGTGAGGAACCCTGGGCACAGACACGACCGCCCGCCTCTCCAAAAATGCACTGAGTGGCTCTGCTCACAGGCATGGGTGGGTTACCACTGCATGCGACCAAATTTGGGAAGTTTCAAAGGATTTCTAGAAGTTTTCATCTTTTTCAAGTTTTTAGTCATAATTGGCAATGGCACATACGTCCTCAAACTGTGAAATTTTGTGCTATAACCAAGACAAAATATGACTTCAAGGTGCTAAATCACAACGTATCATCTGCTTCGTACAGAAAATAAAGACTAAGAGTCCAGTAATGAGAAGGGAACAATCTAGAAATCAGTCAGGAAGAAGCAGATGGAGGAAGCATGGCGCTGGGTCTTAATTGGACTCACCATGGAAACGATCGTGCAGTGACAAACTCTAGAACAAATGCCCAAGTAGAAACACGTGTGGCCCTTTAACCACGTACCCTGATGTCAGAAAATGAAATGGTAAAATCTCTGGCTTACGCAACCAATTAAGTTTAAAGAAAAAAAAAATAAGAGGAACGTAGAGAAAAACCTTATCTTTCAGCTTCTTGGGGGATCAAAATATTGGCAGAGCCGTGTCCATCAGCGGCTCCCCGCGCCCGCGCCCCGCCAATGCCATCTCGCTGCTGCGGTGCTCCCAGGACACTGAGCAACAGGTGGCTGTTGTTTTCTCACCTGACGGAGCAGGCTCCTTGGCCGGTTCCATGCACGTCGGCTGCCTGAGATCATAAAAACGCCACCATCGCGGCAGGTGGCGAGGGGATGAAGGGCCGCGTAGCTCTGGCAGAAGGGCTCTCTGCGGAATGCGGGCGGCGCTCCGGGCGCGTCTGCACGGCCTTTGTGGTGTGGGTCGCCGGCGGCCAGAGGCTAAAAGTCGATGGAGATGGACGCCCGGGCGGCGTCCTCTCGGCCCCGGACATAGATCTCACAGGGGATCTCCTCCATCACTCTGTCCTCCAGGGCCTGCTCGGGGCCCTCGTGCGCCTGCTTGAACGAGCAGCTGCTCTTTTTGAAGGTGCTGTTGAACGTCTTCATGGGCTGGGGCTGTGCGAAGTCGTTTCGGAAAGGCAGCTCCACGGCCGTGAGGTTGGTCCTGCTCGGCCGGCCGCCGCCGCTGCCGCCAGAGGCCTGCGAGCCGCAGTGATGGTCGTGGACGCAGCGGGAGGCGGACGAGGTGCGGCGCAGCTGGTGGTAGCCGTCCAGCTCCTCGGCCAGGTCGGCCAGGTCGGCGGCCAGCTCCTTGTCCCGCAGGGAGAAGAGCTCGTAGTGCGGCGGGTCGAACACCTCCTGGAACCCGGTCTTGTTGAAAGCGCTCTTGCAGGCCAGGACCTTCTTCCGCGGCTGTTTCACCTGGACCAAGATGGAGACGATGAGAAGGACCAGGACGACCCCGGACGTGACGCCGATAATCGTCCCATGAGTTCGGGTGATCTGTTCAAAGAGTCCCGCCTTTTTCTTCTCTGTAGGAAGAGAGAGAAACGTGGAGTTTTGCAAAATTCATGCGGGAGTCCTGGCATGGGCTGGGAAGGTGCTTTTAGGTGACGCAGAAGACTCGGGTCAAATACCCCACAGACAAAGGTTTTCACACCAAAAAATAAAATAACCCTACTGTGATTTCCCGTTAAACTCACCAAATTATCATATAGCAACAAAGACCACAAACACGTGAAAAGACTCCAGCTCTTCGCTCAGAAGACACAGGAATACAACGTGCAAATCAAATGAAACACGTGCACGTAGAAAATGCCAAAACGATGCTCCTGTTCTGTCGTGATGGGCCTTCTGCTCGGGGCAGGTGCGAGGACATTCCCGTGTTTGTACGGACGGCCACCTCACGGGGACCAGCCTCCCAGGTCGGCCGCTCGTCTGAAGGGGCGATCGCCCCAAGGCCTTCATGTCGCGCACTTAAGGCGGCAGCAGCGGATTCACTGGCTTTTCACCGTTAAGGTGTTTACTGAGCCCTCTGCAAGTAGCAGGCAGATAAAGCTGGGTCCTGGGACAGCGACCTGGTGACCAGCGCGCGGACCCTCAACCGTCACCACAGCCTTATTTCTCTCTCCGGGAACGTGCCGTGGGAATAAGGCTCAGGGGATTTATGAACGGAAAACAAGCCGTTCTTACCAGGAGCCTACTTTGTGTTGTGAGACCGAATCCATCCTCTGATTTTTATCACGGGGTGTTCCCACACAATTTAAAAAATAGGAAGACCCTAGGTCCCTTTCTATGTAATTTTGAGAATAAGTGATTTCCACAATACACATGACTAAGAGAGTAAAGCAAGAATATCACAACGAACTTTTGAACAACTTAAAAAACAAAGCAGAGCTTGAGAACACATTTTTTCCTTTGCGTCTGCCGCGCCCGGAGGTCTGTGATCCATTTCGAAGGACACTCGTGCGTCGCCCGGTCTGCCAGAGCAGCTCCCTGCGCACGCGGCAGACAAGGACACCGCGATGCCTTTCCTAGCGGACGGCAGGGCCCGCCTCCCCGCACCGCGCGGCCGGGCCTCACCTCTGCAGTGGTTCTCGTCCCACGGGTAGGCGCAGTTCTGGATGCCGTTGCAGACGAGGGAGCTGTTGATGCACATGTTGCTGTGGCAGAAGAAGGTGCTGCCCGTGCAGGGAGCTGCGGGGAGAGAGAGCCCCGCGCTGCTGAGGACGGAGAGCGGGCGGGGGAGGCGCTCGTGCCGCACACCTCGTACTAACTGTGGTGGAGTCACGCGGTGACCGCAGGGGCCTCCCGGGGACACCCTCTACACTGCACACGCAGAGAGACAGGGGCCACCGATCCTGGACGGCGACGCGGGCACACTCACACGCACACTGGCTACCAGAAGGCCAATGCAATGGCAACACGAATACATCTCCCACGGTACGCAGCCTGGTAAGTTCTCAAAGCCGTTAAAAGACAGTGCCAGCGAGGACGCGGAGGCCCGGGAGCCCTCGTGCGCCGTGGGTGGGGCTGTGAAGCGGAGTGGCCGCCGTGGGAAACAGCCTGGCAATGCCTCAAAAATGCACGCGGCTCCCACGTGACCCAGCAACTCCACCTGTGGGTTTCCACCCAGAAGGCGGACAGCGGGCGCTCGGACAGACCCCTGCGCCCCGGGTCACAGCAGCGTCATTCCCACAGGCCAAGGGCGGAGGCGGCCCAGTGCCTGCCGACGGGGGACAGACAACCACGTGCGGGGCACACGTGCCACGCAGCGCGATTCGGCCTTGACTTCCGAGCGAGACTCTGGCACAGGCTGCGACGTGGGTGAGCCCTGAAAACATCTAAGTGGGAGAAGCCAGACGCGAAGGGACCGATACCGTATCGCCCCACAAACAGGAGGGCCCCCGGGGACGGGGCGCGAGGCGGACGGGGTGGGCGCCTGCCGGGGACGCCGGGCCGGTGTGGGGGGAGGGACGCGTGTGCAGGGGCGGCGGCGGCGGCGGGCGCACAGCAGTGGGGGCCCGTTCAACGCCAGTGACGGGCACTGGACGGTGGTGTGTTTTATGTTGTGTGGCTTTTAGCGTAAGATAAAAGGAAAAGAAAACCTTTGGAATTTCCAATTTTTTTTGGAATAAATAAAGATCCGGGCAGAGGAGGGGGAAGGGGGGAAAACGGGGACAATGGTAACAGAATAGCAAGAAAAAGTCAAGAGACACGGTTTCCGTGCCACGGGCCCCCATGTGTATGTCGGCCGATCCTTCAGTCTGAAACGAGTCCCGCCCCCCCGTGGGGACCTCCCGCTCCTCTTCCAGGGTCACCCCAAATGCCACCCTCTCTGGGCAGAGCCCTCTCAGCTCCCCTGCGTCCACAGGAGCTCCCGCGTGTCCCGGTCCCACTCCAGTCTGCTCTGTGTAACCCCCGCCTCGTACGTGTAAGGTGCGTCACACTCGACTACGATGCGCGTGTCCACCTCTGTCAGGGCACGAAGCCCTAGATTTCAGCGTAAGACGCAAGAAACCCGAAAGTCAGGAATGGAACAGCTCGCCTCCCCGGCCTGCGCAGAGGGCTGACCGAGCTCGCCAGATCAACGAACTCCCACGCATGTAATTAAACAAGAGGTAGATCCTGCCTAAAAAATTTTACATTTTCAGAAAATCCATGTTTCATCCAGGAAGAATGGACTATTTTGCTGTAAGGCAGGAAGCGGGACTATCGATGGGCCAGTAACTAACATGTTACTAACATGGTACAACAGGCCGCCTGCCGGCCGTGGCTGCCCTTGGAGCGCGTGGCCGGACTACAGGCCACCCCAGGCTTCTGCGGCCACGGTCTGATGAGGCTGTCCCCGGTCAGGCTGACGCGGCTGTTCTCAACCTACGCACCAGAAAGAGGACGTAGCGAACAAGTAACTCCGAGGAGGCCCTTAACCTGTCCACATGGTATCACTTAGACCACCGAGGTTGGGTGGTACCTTAAGTACAAAGTTAGCCCGTGCACCTGCTTCAGTTGTGCTCCATGATCACAGAACGGTATTACACGCCTGTGTGCAGCTAACTTAATTTATGGATTTTAGGGAGACAGACGTCGATTTGTCGTACCACTTATTCACGCACTCATTGGTTGATTCTTGCATGTGCCCTGACCGGGGACTGAACCTGCAACCCTGTGTATCAGGACGACTCTCTAACCTCCCCCACAAGCTAACCCCGGCCAGAGCAGCCTTTTAAAAGATATCCAATGGCCGGGAGCAGTGATTTTCAACCAGTGCGCTGCGAGAATTTCCAAAACGTGCAATATCTGACTATGTAGTAGGGGCACCAAACTCTTTTCCCTTAGATTGTCCGATAAAAAAATGACAACAGCTAACACAACAGCAGCCATTCGGTTGAATGAAGCAAAATTATACCTATTTTTTTCACCAGATGGGCAAAAACATTTTTTGGTGTGCTGCAGAATTTTAGTAATGAGTATGTATGTCATGAAATGAAAAAGGTCAAAAATCACTGGCCTAGAGAACACATAACAATTTTTGAATTTGTCATTTCTAAAAACTGGAGTCTTCTGTTTTGTTTGTTTGTTTGTTTGTCTGTTTCTGTATCATACCAAGATGCTGCAGGGTCCAGCACAAATAACACCCGTTTTTTATTACAAAATCATAAGCATGTAATTCTATAACGTAATAATATCACGCTCAAGCACACCATATGGCATTTTAGGTGAAATGTTCAAATTAAAACCATAAATTAGTACACCCATATTATGAACCTACCCACTACACTCAAGCAGGCGTTACTTCTGCTGGACCCTGTATCACATGCCATATCCAATTACAGATAAAATTCTAATTTTACTGGTCTTACCCAGTTCACAAATGGGGATACACGACAGAGAAGCTATTTTTAAGCCAGGTGGATGAGGTTATAAATAGCACTGGGGCTTCTAGGTATTCTGATTTTCTGAGTCAAATTGTCATGAGCTCTTCAAGTTTACCCACAGTGTATTATGCGACTGCAGCTGAGTGGCTCTTCTAGCTTCAAAAGCAGCAAAAAAAAAAAAAAAAAAAAAGGACAGGTTTTCTGCTCGGCCCCCCCGCCCCCCATGGAGCACGAGTGGAAACACCCAGCTTTGCCCACGGAGCTCTCCGCACGGCCATCCGTGTGCCCGAGCCCGCCCACAGCCCACCGACCCTGTCCATCTCGCGGACGTGTGCGTTTGACCAGTAACTACAAGTGGATGAGGCTTCACAGACTTCTGAGGGGCCTGCGTGGCTGTGCCCCACCTGCCCGTTATAGACGCGGCTGCCGACGACATGCTTTGATTCAGATGCCCATAAAGGGACAAAGGGGCCAACCGAGTACGGGTAGGAGCCGCTCTCTACTCACGGCCCCAGGACTCCACTGTCCCCTCTTCCCTGCGGCCCGGCGGGGAAGGGGGAGGGGCTGGCACTTCAGCTCCGCGGGATGAGAGGAGGCAGGGATGCTGGGAGGCGGCTCTGTCCTCCAGCAAAGCCTGCGGGGTGCCTGCTGGCCATGTGTCACTGGGAAATCCATAGCTCGTTATGGGTTTCTTCTAACAAAAATATCTTCTCCTGCTTTCACAGTTTTAGTCCTAGAAACCATCCTCCTCCAGCCGTACCCAATCTTCAAGAGCGAGGCGCGTTCGCACTCCATGCCTGGGGGGACATGGGACACATTCTGATCGCTGGTCTATTTTGGTCCCTGCAGCCGCGCTCCCGTTTCAGTCCCCTGGCGCTGGGCCGCGGGCTGCCCTGAAGCAGGTCGCCCGTGCGGAGCCGGGCTGCTTATGCAAACCTGCCCTAAACCCGGGCCGCTTCCCTGGCTGGACTCCTAACGGTCACCCATCGCGAAGAGCTCAGAGAGGGACGAGAGAGAGAGAGTTTAACAACCTGAATTAATGAGACGCATGTGAAATGTCTGAAGCTCTCAAATGTGCTTCTCAAAAGGAGATCTTCAAACCAGAACTTTTATGGTGTAAAAATTTAAGGACTACTTTGATCCTACTTTGATCTCCTTTGATACTAACTTAAAATCATCAGAGAAGAGTGTTTCACGTAAGGTTTAGGCTAGAGCAGCGCGGACTAAATGGAAGGCTGAGCAAGACGAGGCGGCGGCAGAAGAAAGGCCGGAGGGGGGGGCGGGCGGGGGCTTAGGGACAGAGGCCGTGTGCACGCCGCGGAAGTGCCCGGTGAGGCGGCGCGGCCCCCAGGAGGTCTCGCGGAGACAGCGCACGAAGGTGGCTACAGCAAACGGCAGATCTTCAGAGGAAACCGCCTTCTGTTGGGAGGAGATGCCAACTCGGTGTTTGGCAACACCCAACTAAACTACACATGATTTAGCCCGTAAGCGAGCAACCCCACTTCCGGAATCCTCCTGGGCACACACCTCCGAGGAGATAAACACACACATGCGTGACATTGTTCTTTGTGACGTGGCTTGTAATTGCAAAACGCTGGAAATTACTCTGTGCCCACCACCAGGAGAGGGACCGACGAAGCACACACGGACAATGTGCTCTGCACAGTGACAGAAGGGAGGGCGGCCTCTCGGAATGAATGTGCAGGGTCCCCGATACCTGTGGAGTGCGCAACATGCTTCCTTTTGTGGAAGAAAAAAGGGGATACGAGGAAACAGGCACGTGCCGGGAAGCTGCGGAGAGGCGGGGGCGGGGCTGGGACAGCGGGCGAGGGCATGAGCGGGGGCTGTCTTTCCGCACAGCTCTCTGGGGACAGGGGCGTATTCCGGGCGCCCCCCCAAGTGTGAACAGCTCCAGGTCCCCATGATGTGGGGAGGGGACGGAAGACGAAACAGAAACAGTCACAAATGAACCTAACGGGATTCCAGGTGAGTGAGGAAACCACAGGAAGGAAAGGAGAGGGGGAGAGTAATTTCAGAAGCCGGCACAGCGGACTTCGGCGGTGAGGCTGAAGACAAGACGACCCGGACCGGTACCGCCCGCTAGGACGCGTCTAACAGGGGTGTGGTCCAGCGGTCCTGCCTTCGCGTGTGTACAAGGACCGAGCAGTGACCGCGTTGCGTGTAGCTAGAGGCAGGCTTCCCACTGAGAGACCAGGCGGAGGCCGGGCGCAGGGGGGACTACGTGCGCCGGCCGCACTGGGGGGGCGTGGGAGGCTGCGGAGGGGTCCCGGGGCCCGAGCTGCGACTCTGCGCAGCATCATCGCGTGTTATAGAATAACGTAATGTATATGTTTATAATGAATATATATTCATGGGAGAAAATAAACAGCCAAGAGGTCACACTAGTAGCACTAACTGAATAGAGAAGCGAGGGAATAAGAATGGCTCTTCTTCACAGAAAAACTGTAATTACAAAGTGTGGAAGGAAGGCCGGGAGCAGAGAGCCACCACCTGGGGCCACCAGCACCACGGCCACCACAGGCGGACGCCATCGGAGGAGACGCCCGAGCAGGAGGGCCACGGCATGGTCTCCGAGAGCCTCGCGGACCCGAAAGGGATCGGGCGGTGACCTCGCGGGGGAGGAGCTCGGCAGACAGCCCGGAGGAAGACATGGGCATCGAGGCGAGGCAGGCGCAGGCGCGGCCCTGACCTCCCCGGCCCGGAGCCCACGGCAGGGACCCGCGTTTCTGTGTGTTCCTGACAGAGAGGCGCGCGCTCCACGGCGTCCGAGCGGCCGTGTCAGATAAGCCTGCGCGGACGGACGGAATAGCCGGGCACGCGCTGCCAGTGCACCCCGATCGCGGGCGACCGGGACGTGTCCCAGGTGGGGAGACCAGAGACCTGCCGCTGGGGGCCACGTGGGTCCTGGGGCACAAAGGGACCTTCAGGGCACCTCGTGACAGCCGAGGAAGGCCTCCGTGGTCGTTAACCGCAGGACACCCGTGGCTATGGTTTTGCAAGGTGTTAACATTCGGGGAATCTGCGAGGAGGCCTTATGGGAACCTTGCTAGTCTTACAACTTTCCAAAAGCTTAAATTATGGGTATTTAAAAATAAAAATTAAAAAAAAAAAAAAAGGAAGAAAACATAGCGGCTCTAAAGGGTTGGTGACCAGGTTTGCTGGGGTCACAGTTACTCATCAGGCTGAGTTACCACTATTGACCATTGTTACTATCTTTTAAATAATTAAAAAAAAATCCTCACCTGAGGGTATTTTTATTGATTTTGAAATTTATTTTTTAGAAAAGATTTATTTACTTTTAGAGGGAGGGGAAGGGTGGGAAAGAGACCGAGAGAAACATGGCCATGCCAGAGAGAAACAGCAGTGTGTGGTTGCCGCTCATGCGCCCCCGACAGGGGACCTGGCCCGCAACCTGGGCCTGTGCTCTGACGGGGAACTGAACCAGCGACATTCTGCTTTTGCGGAACGATGCCCAACCGGCTGAGCCACACTGGCTAGAGCTGTTTGGGTTTTTAGAGAGAGGGCGGGGAGACCACACCGATCGGCTGGCTCCTGTATGTGCCCCGACTGGGACTCGAACCCGCACTCCAGGCATGTGTCTGGACCGGGAATCAAACCCTTGCTCTTTCGGGTTATGGGACGGCGCTCCAACCTACCAAGTCGCCCGCGCAGGGCCTGATTGTCATTTTTAGTTTTAAAACTCGTGGGAGAAGCCTCCCGTCTCGGCCCTCCCGACCACCGTTTGCAGCCTGGTAACAGGCAGGGCATCAGCGTGGCTGTCCCACCCGCGAAGGCCGGTGCCTGGGGAGGAGGGACCCCGACCGGTCGCTGCTCCACCCTGGGGCGCGCAGGCTTTGCCCCAGGGGAATGCGCCTGCACGCACAGAGCAGTGGCGCGGCGGGCGCAGAGCGGGGCGCGGCGCCGCGCTTACTCACGCTCCACGAAGGAGGTGAAGAGCATCCTGAACCTGCTGAGGCGGCTGCCCTCGTCGGCCCACATGCGGATCACGCCGACGCCCGTCCTCAGCGTGACGTCGTTGGCCACTGTGCTGCAGAACTTGGCCTTGAGGTTCTCGATGGAGCTGCTTCCGTCGTAGACGGCGACGAAGTTCCTCTTGCACTCGTTGGAGTGCTCCATCTGGTAGTCCAGGAACCTCAGGTAGATCTGCGGCAGGGGCAGAGAGAAACACGGCCGCTGAGAGGACCCGCGGGCTTGGGCCTCCCGGCGCAGGCGCCCGCCCCTCAGGGGAGAGCACACTGGGTCACGGCAGCCGACAGCCAGACAGCGGAGGGGAAGCCGACCGGGGCCAAGCACGAGGGAACCCGGAGTCGGTCTGGAAGGAGAGGAGGCTTTCTGCTCCACGGAGCACCATGTCGCCTGCGTTTTCCTTAATCAAGCAACCTCATGGCTACGGACAGACTGGGAGAAAAAGAATCCGTCCACTGCACTCCCTTCGCGGCCCCCCTCGCCCCCAGCGTGCATTCTGGGCCGGTCCGTCCCTCTCCCTTCACTTCTGTTCACGTGCAGGCGTTCTAGCTGGTTATTTATTTATGGATTTCATTTTTTATAGCTGGTTATTTCTAGAGTGTGCCAGGCCACTGTCCTCGCTCGCCCTCTTGACTCCTTCCTGCGGGGGGTTTGGGGCCCGCTCTCGCCGGGTGGGCTGCCCACGGGCGTGCGCTCCCGCTCTCTCTGGGAGCCCGACCTGTATGCTCAGCGGCGCTTTATCGACAGCGATCCTGGGGCCCCTGCGGTGAGTCACTTTGTCTTTATTTTTGCCACCGGCCTCAAAGGTTTCATGAGGCCAGCTCCACTTTGTTAATTTTGGGGCTAAGCGATTCCTGGGTTGAACGTGAACTGTAAATTCGTATCCCAAACTGGTACTACAGACAGGGTTCTAGGTGTAAAGGCTTGGGGAGACCCCAGCCTGAGCCCAGGGTGATGAGCGTCCTTGTTTTCAACCCGTGTTGGTGGGAGGGCTTTTCCAGCCCCGCCGTTCACGGCCGTCACCCCCGTTGGCGGGTTCGGGTTAGGGGAGGGTGTCGGTCACGGAGGTGACCCGAGCCCGAGGCCTTTTCGTGCCCGTGTCGGTGGGGCTGTTCACAGCACGGTCCTGCCCCGGCCGGGTCTGCTGCTGCGTCACCAGCCACCAACACAGCGGCGGCACCTCGGCCCCAGCGGCGGCTGTCAGGTTACCGCTCGAGGTTCTAGCTCGCTCTCTCCATCTCTATTCCGTAAGAGTTACCTCCTTCTGGGGGAGCTTGTCGACGCCCTGAACACTAGCTGGTACGTGGGTTTCTGTCACAGGGGGGCTTCAGGTTCTCTGACCCTCCTCAGAGCGTGACCGCAAATCGGGTTTTTATAGTTTCTAAAAGGTGTGTCTCCCACTTTACTCTCTCTTTTCTGTTTTTACACATATATACACTAAATACGGTTTTAACCCTGTTGAACTTCCTAGAAATATAAATTCAAAGCAGAAAGGAGGAATAGTTGGCGACCAGTTTCCACCTGTCAGTGTCTCAGAAACCCCATCCCCGCGTGTCCCCCAGGGGGAGCTTGGCGGCGCGCGGACTCGGGGGGCGCGGAGCGAGGACACGGAACTAAGACAACGTGCTGGAGTTCGGGTTGGCCGACTCCGAGACCTCGGACAACACCCTCTAACTTCCTGTGACCTCACATGTTTTCTCCTCATAAAACTTTTTAAACGCACCCATGATCGTCCTGCTCCATACTTTCACATGTCAACGAGGAGTCCGCAGATTTTTAAGCATCTTACGATTCCTAAAATAAGAAGCTTAACGGATGTGTGATGCTTCTGAAGTTTACACGGTAGCTTATCTAATGGCGACAACGCTGAGATCTTAAAAGGTACCTAATAACGCGACTAAAATAAATTCTAAAGAGTTGTAATACAGTGAAGATAATCAACGACTATGTGCACGAACCAACACGGCGCGATACGCAAGGCAGGTCTCCCGCTCATCTGGGAAGCGACCGGCACGCGCGGCCCTACCTTGGCCTTTGGGGCGGCCCGGACGGTCCAGATGCAGTCCACCGCCTGGCCGGGCTTCGTCTTGCCCTCCTGCTCTACCTGGCTGGAGCGCACGATCCCGTCCGCCCCTGAGAGCTCGAACTGGCAATCTGGAAGGAACAGAGGGATGCGGTCAAGGGGAAGGACGGCAGATCAAAGGTGGCGTGAGGAAAAAGAGGTAATATACTAAACCTGGGATGGGGTTTAAAATACCTCCTAGGTACGTAAAGTCTGGATCTGGAACAGAAAAAAAGCAGACAGTCATTCGCATTTTGAGACATGTTAAGAGTCACTCTTAAGGTTTAACGTCTTAAGTTACGGTTAATGCGGCAGGTAGTAACAATGTAAGAGAGGACTTTCTGGTGTAGAGACAGCTGGTTATTGACGAGCACGTTCAGATGCTCACTGATACGATCCATGTCTTTTTTAAAGATTTTATTTATTTAGTTTTAGAGAGAGGGGAAGGGAGGGAGGGATAAAAAGAGAATGAGAAGCATTGACCCGTCACCTCTTGAACGTGACCTGGCCTGGGACCGAACCTGCCACCCAGGCGTGTGCTCTGACCGGGAATTAAACCGGGGGCCTTTTGCTTCGTGGAATGATGCTCCAACCAACTGGGCCACACTGGTCAAGGCAGAATCAATGTTTTTAAGTGACAACGTATATACTTTGATCCCATCCTGAATTAGTCACTTATTTTTGCTTCCTGAAAACCCACAGCTCTGTCAACAGCCGCAGGCAGCCCACTGACAGATGAATGGACAAACAAAACGCGGCACATCCAAGAGTGGGGAGTATTATTCCGCCTTGAGAAGGGGTGAAATTCTAACATCTGCGGCAACGTGGATGAACCTGGAAACACTATGCTCAGTGACATAAACCAGATGCTAAAGGACAACCATTGTGTGGTTCCACTCATATGAAATACCTAGACTAGTCCAATTCAGAGCAGTCAGTCCCAGGGGCTGGAGGGACGGGGAAGTGTTTCACGGGGACTGAGTTTCAGCCTGGGGTGACCAAAGAGTTCCGGGCATGAGCAGCAGGGGCGACGGCCACACGAAACTGTGAATGTGCTTAATGCCAATGACGCGTATGCTTCCGAGGGTTAAAATGATCACTTGCATGTTCTTTCCCAACAGCAGGGAGAGAAAGACGACTAGGTGCTATGTGGATATTCAGCCCTGAGAAGCAGTTCACAGGAGGTTGAGACCACCAGTCTGCGTAAAAATAACTGATTTAATTAAATGGTCAGAGTTTGATTTTTTTTTTTTTAAATCCTCAAGGATACATTTTTTGATTTTAGAGAAGGCGGGAGAGAGAGAAAGAGAAACATGGGTTGGTTGCCTCTTGTATGTACCCTGAGTGGGGACTGAACTCGCAACATATGTATGTGCCCCAACTGGGAATTGAACCCACAGCCTTTTGGTGTATGGGACGATGTTCCACCAACTGAACCACATTGGCCACGGTGCCCGATTTAATTATTGTGAACTAAATCCAATGAACTGAAGTGATATTCGAGTGTTAAAAATGCATGTTATGAAATCTTATCTGTAAGTCAGATCTTTGAAAGTATAGACATCAAAAACAATGCTTTCAATTATTTGAATGTTTTAAAATACTGAAATCAGGCAACTTTATACGTAAAGATTCTTATTTTTTTTAAAAAGCAGCTCTTTCCCTCTATTAGTTGTAGGTACATGTCATGAGAGCAACCTTATGTGACTTACAGTTAAAATATAAGCAAAATAGAATAGATTGCTTAGGATTTCTAGACTATATTACCTTAAATTTGCATTTTATGGTGTTTCAGAGTTTTTACATACATCACATTTAATTCATGCTAATGGGAGTGATGGCAGGGGCACTGGGTAACATTCCAGTTTCTAAATGAGCACGAAACGCAATCAGAGATTAAGGTTTTCTCAGGCCAAATTGATGGCAAAGCCAGGGCTCCATTCCAGTTCTCTACCCAGCTTTTCCTACTACGCCCCGTGGGCGAGGGTTCCATCACTTCACCGCTAAAAGAAAAGGAAAATACAGATCACAATAAATAGGCAATGCACAACCAGCTAAATCACAACTGTTTAGTTACAGTCGTATTTAGAAAATACATTTTGTCTAGGAGCCGGTAACCCTGGCTGAAGTCTGCTAACGGCATCTGCTGAGACAGAGGCTCTTAATGGGCTGCGCTTCCTACGCGAGGTCTGTCCAGCCACGTAATATAAAAAAACAGACACTCACTGAAGAAGATACAAGGTCCAAGACACATTGCGCATAGGACAAGGACACCTTGGGCCCTCACACAATTCTCCCAATGGTCATCAGCTGCCCTGTCGTATTTTCCTGAATCTCATCAATGGTCTGAAATCTCCTTCCTTTCAAAGGTGATTTTAGTTTTGGGAAAAGCCAGAAGTTGCAGGGCATAAAATCTGGGCTGTAGGGGGGCTGAGCCACCTGGAGGATTTGATGTTTTGCCACAAAACTCTGCATGAGACATGATGCACGTGCGGGACACGTTGTCGCGATGAAGCTGCCAATCACCCGTTGCCCATGGCTGCAGCCTTCTGAATCATCCGGTAGTTTCCACAGAGGAATGTTCAAGCTTAACACAAAATGTGATGTAGATTCGTTGCTCTACTCGCTCATTTTGAATGTGATGGCCACACAGCGCACAGGCTCTCAACGGCGTCTACCGCCCCCACTGAATAGTACAAGGAAGTCATCGTTGCTCACGCATGCGCATTCCAGTCCACTCTCCTCGGCTGCCAGGTTACATCGATGTCATGCAACTGTTCTCGTCATATTAACAGTGGCTGGACTTTTTCTGGACAGACCTCGTATGTATGTATCTGGGCTAATTCTGGACGTTTTAATGCAATGAGGACTATACCCTAGAATTCTCGCCTACCTGGGAAGAAATTGTGATTTGTTTGCCAGATAACGCCTATGACTTTTACTCCAATGCTGTTTAAAATTTAAATTTCTCTTTGACATTTACCCGCAAAAGAGCTGAAGTGTCGTGGTCCCCTTTAGCTGCGTTTGGTTTACTAATAAAGAACAGTCTCTTGGGAAGTCATCTAAACTAAGCCCCAAATTTCCCTCCTACTTTTCTCAACACGTCATTTAATAATCGTGGTAAAGGATAAACAACTTTATTTAACAAGGATCAAGCACCCAGTTACCAACAATAAACTGTGTATGAAAGTAGGTTTCTCCGGGCCAGTGTGGCTCGGCGGGCCGGAGTGTCACCCCGGTCACCGGAAGGCTGCGGCTTCCGTCCCCAGTCCGGGCATGTGCGGGGCTGCGGCGTTGGCCTCCGGCTGGGGTGCGTGTGAGAGGCAACCGATCACTGCTTCTCCCTCACATTGATCTCTCTCCCCCACCCTTCCCCTTTCTCTAAAATCAATAAGCGCGCCCTCGGGTGAGGATGAAAGGGAGGAAGGGAAGAAGGAAGGAAGGAACCAAGTCTTAAAATATCTGCCATATGCTAAGTGTGCTAATTGCTAAACTAGGTTTTGCAGTGTCGTTCAAGAGTTTGAGTTCAAACTAGCGATTTTTTCATTTTGGCAGGTTGGTATGCATAGGTCCTATCTACATTTTCAAATTAAGTTTTTTAAGGCACCTGTGTGTAATTTTTAAAAATTTACCTTTATTGTTTAAGTGCGCAGTTTAGGGGAATGAAGTACATTCACCACATTGCACTGCCTTCGCATTCCCCGCCCCCAACTCACACAAAAATTTAAAAACATTTTTAATATCCAGCTATTGTGTTCCTTGGTTACTGGCCCAAATGTTAAACGCTTCTCCACACAACAGCCTGAGCATGGATGCTTATAGCAGGTTCATTCGTAACTGTTAAAACTCAGCAGCAACCGAGATGCCCCACAATAGAGGGGACGAACACACCGTGGCCCACCCAGGCGACGGGGCATTGTTCAGGTTAAAACGCAACGCGTTGCAAGCCACGTAAAAATGCGGAGGGACCTTAAATGCACACTCCTAAGTGAAAGGGGGTGACCTGCCGTGGGACCCCCGCGCTGTGACTGTCTGGGCAAGGCCATGAAGATCTGCCGTTGCCTGGGGCTGGGCTGGAGGGGCGACGAGGCGAGCAGAGGGCCTGCCGGGCACCGAGGCCACTGTGGGATCACGTAACAGGCCCACACGGGGCCCTCGTCCAGTAACGCCAACAGTGGGCCCACCGCGGCGCGGCAGCGCACGCTCATCGACTGCGGCTGAGGCCCATCTGGTTCGGGGCAGGGGCTGGAGGTAGCCCTGTGTGTGTGGTGTATGGTAACGCTGTACTTCTTGCTCAGTTTTCCTGTGAACCTAAAACTGGTCTCAAAAATAATGTTGCATTCTGAATAACATGCCACTCTCCGGATGGACCGTGGTTTATCTATTCCCTTGAAGGACATCGTGGTTGCTTCTGAGTTTTAACAGTGACAATAAAACTGCTGTGGACAGTCACTGGCAGGTTTTGTGTGGAGAATCCATCAGATAAAGTCTATCAGGTCAGTTTTACTTGCTGAAAATGTTAGACTTCTGGCGCTGAGAATCTGAGGAACAAAGTGACGCTCAAAAATTCCCATAATGCGTTTAGTCGAGGAAAAAGAAGCTATGTTTTTAGGCAAAACCAAAACGGGCAATACACCTGCAGGTGCATAAAACAAACAAAATAAGTAGGTAGGGAAAAACGTGCGGGATGTACACTGAACAGCTAACGCTCGGTTTTTTATAGAGAGAGCGGTAACATTGTGGATATTTTCTTTTCACCCGGATATGTTTCAGTTTTTTTTCAATCAACAAATTTCTTGTGTGAAAACCTACATAAAAGCAAAAGGATTGTGCACTTGTCACTCTGTCGTCTTGTTACAGCAACAACGTGTCTGTGTCCCCGTGAGGGACCTGTGTACTTCCAGAGCGGAGGGGGCTCCGCAGTTCACGTGCTAACGCGACCGAACCCCTCCGTTCCAGCCTCCGGGAGCCTGCTGCCGGGCGCGGCCTGCTCAGTGGGCAGAACGCCTCCTCACCTGGAATAAAGGAGTACTTGGCGCGAAATCCCATTCCTTCGAGTTCTTCATCAGAACTGAACTTGACCCACATGAACCTCCCCGTCGACCTGATCAGCGGAGGGCTCCTCACGCCGCAGAACCGGTCAATGAGCGGGGAGAAGCCGAATGGCCCGTCGCGGACTTCCAGGTGGTCAAACCGGCACTCGAACGATGGCTCTATGTAAAAATGGTCGTCAAAGGTCACCTCTATTCTTTGCCGTGGAGCAGCTGGAAGACAGGGGTCCGCAAATCAGGGCGACACACCCAGGACGACGTGGGAATGTCAACAGCCACAGGCTGCGGCTTTTCCGGCTCCGTAGCCGAGCACCGTGACGGGGACGTCACCCACACAATTCACAATACATGTTTATGTTACGCGAGGAATAACGCTACGTCGTGGAACTATAGTAATCTCTCCCTTTGGCCTATGCTATTTATGAAATCAGGGCAATGTATTCAACTGATCAGAATTAGAGTCCAGAAGCTAATGCTCGGTTCAGGAGCCTCAATGTACCACAAGGAACCGGAGAACAAAGAAAGGGACTGATGTAACTACGGACATAAATCTGCATAAAAGCCTAATAAGAGATGCCAGTTAATTTAAATTTCTTATCAGAGAAACGCCTCACAGATATTGGTGTGTCTGGTTAAACTACATCTTAGGAGATTCAAAATTCCTACAGTATTTCAACTCTAATCTTGCTAATGGGGTCAGTCATCAGGAATATGTTTAATCCCTAGAGCTCAGTTCAAATACATGTTTAGCTTTGTTCAAATTGGTTCAAACAGGTAATTTTACCCGTGCATTTAGTCTTACAATGAGGTGAAAAAGTCATCGAACGGAAGACGGGAATCGGTCACGTACCTTCCAAAATGTAGACGCACTCCTTGTTGGGCGGGTAAGAGTCGGGGTAATTGGGAGAGGCGAAGTGCCCGCCGTTGCTGGTTCGCACCCAGATGCCACACTGCGGGGCGGGGATGTGCCGGACCCCGAGGTTCTGTCCATCTTAGGGGAAGAGGGCAGGCTGCAGGGGCGCAGCCAGAGAGACCGCGCCCCTCTCTTCCCCCCCAACTTCCCGCCCCCCCGTGCCCACTCTGTCACTGCCCCCTCCTCCGCGGGGACCCCGCCGAAGGGACGGGCGCCGAGGCTCGAGGCTCGCAGCCCCCGCGGGGACGCCGCCGGGAGGTCAGCCCGCGGACTCCACAGGGGCCGAGCCACATGGCAGAAGCCGGGAAGCCAGCGAACCGATAAAACTCGGCCCGACATTACGTTAAAGGTCCCAGGGGTTTTGTTTAACGCCAAGTCAAGTAAGTTGAAAGCTTACAAAGGTGTTTTAAAGACGGCGGAGCGGACACATGCCTTTAGCTCCGCTCCTCCCTCGAAGTCCGCTCAGACAATGATAAAAGGCTCTTTTTTAAGGACATAAGCCTCTAAGTAACAGTCAGGGGCGGCCAGCAGCCGCAGCAGCCCCCGCGCAGGGTCAGGACGCGGGCGGGGCGGCGGCGGCAGAGGGCCGGTCCGGCGAGCGCGGTCCGTTTAGGGCCGGCTGGAGTCCCCACACCCCCCCACACCACGGCTACTTGCAGCTCTTTCACCACATCAGACCTGAGATGATTTCTTGGGAGGGGACAAAACAGGGTGACTAGGCGGGAGGCCACCGTGCGTCACTGAGGGCGGCACCGCCAGCCTGCAGACAGGGACGCGAGGGCAGCGCCGACGCGCCCACCGAGGCCCCCGCCTCCCGCCGCAGCGGGAAGCGGACGCCCTTCTCCAGGGCCTCCGTGAGCCCCAGGGAAAAGACCCGGGGACGCGGACGACGGGGTGGGTCCCCCAGTGTCACATCACTCGCCAGTCTGCAGCAAGCAGGCCCCGACACTGCTGCGGGCGGTGGGGGGTGGAGAGGGAGGGAGACGCGGATGTGCTGCTCCGCTTACCCCCCCTGCCCTCCCCCCCCACCGCCCGGCGCCTGTGCGGGCCCTGACTGGGGACCGGGCCGCGGCCTTGGTGCCCAGGGACGACGCTGTCACCAACGGAGCGACCCAGCGCGGGCAGACAGCGGCAGATTTTAGTGCTTCTCTTGTAAATACGGGCAGGCAGGCAAAGGTCACGAGACATTTGAGGAAAGCCTCGAATAGGAAAAATGGATTAATAAAAGCGACTCCGAGGAAACAAAGACTATGTAAAAAAAAAAAAAATCACAACAGAAACCCAGCGACAGCCACACCAAACATTTAACCTCCTTGGACAGAAAGAGCAGACGCCATGGAACGAGGGTGGGGCACCAGGGCCGAAGGAGGGGGGTGGACACAGAGGCTTCTGACGGGCCGGCCTGGCCCACCGCCTGTGGTGACAGGTGACATTTTCCTGGACCTCAGCCATGCCCGCGGCTCTCCTGCGATGACAGCAGCAGAAGGGGAAGAAAAGGAAGGAGCTCCCTGCACGCAAAGACCCCCTGTTCCCGTGGAGAACGCTCGCTGAGCGCTCAGCGGGGGGCCCGAGCTCACAGGCCGCGGCAGGAGGGGTGACCGCGGGCTGCGGGGCACAGGCTGGAAGGACCGCGCGCCCAGCGGGCGGGCGGGGAGATGCCGCGGGGAGATGCCTCTCACCTTCCGCCTCACAGGGAAGTCTTCCCTTTCGCTGCCCCGGAGGCGGCTAAGAAGTAGCAGGAAGCGCCCTTTTTATAAGAAACCGCCAGGAGAGTCGGCCCACCAGCCACAGGCCGGGGCGGCGGCTCCCCAGCCGACTATTTAGAATGCTTGGACTGTTGTCCTGCGCGTGCAGAACGATGATGGGAATAAAAAGATAAATCAGACTGTGTGAGAAATGCACTCAGCTCTCCCATGAAAATCTGGTTCAGAAACCACACTCACTAATCTGTCATAAACGAGGACAGTCCAAAGAGTCCAAAGGGCTTTGAATAAGATATGGATGGAAACGTGCCATTTGTCTGGGGTGGGGGGGACGGGTCTTCATTTTTGCTTAGTGATAAAGCGTGGACCCCATTTAGCTTCTGGACAGAATCCGCACCATGCTAGGGGCTCCCAGGGATGCGGATTTTGGAGATTTCTCAGGCGGGGCTTCATGTTGACAAGGCCCTCGCGGGGACGGCAGCTGCGCCCAGCTGAGTGGGGCTGGCAGCTTGACAGAGAGCCTCGGGTCACCAGGACCCCCCGGCGGAGGACGGAGCGGCCCTCCGAAGCCGCAACCCCTTCCCGTAAGCTGCTGCCGGCCTGCGCGGCGACCCCGCCCGCGCCTTACCTTGCGTCTTCTGGGCCACAGCGATCCCTTCCGCCACGAGCGCCGTCACCAGCAACACTGGGGAAGAAGAGGGAAGCGCGGTTAAGCGACTGAATCTACGTTACATTTCACTCCGTCTATAAGGAAAATCAGAGGGCAAGAAAAGAGGAACTAAAACCACTACTTGTTGCCAACGGTCACTCTCAAGATTTTTCAGGGCTCAGGGTTATGATCTGATGAACCATTTGACACTTCTGCCAGCCCGAGAATAAACATACTTGGTAGAGCACCTGTTTACACAGGCCCCGGACCCCACGGCACCGGAAGCACTTTTCCGTGTATGATGGACGAAAAGAATGCACGTGTTTTTTATAACGGGTTTGCTGGCCCCAATTATTCTTATTTGTGCTCCCTTCCGTCCCGAAGAGCCGGCACGCTCCGCCACGCGCTCCGCCAGGGAACGTTCAGTGAGACGATCCGACTTCTGAGAACATTCATAATAGAAGCGGAAGGAAGGGGGCAGCAGCCGCCCAGAAATGGGCTCGACCTGCTGCGCTGAGCCCCGTGTCACGGAGGCGAGAGAATTGAGAAAACGAAGCTCCTTCCGCCCAAGCCAAACATTTCCGAGGCCCAGTCAACACTGTGACGAATTCTCTTGTGTTTTGGAGATTCTTTTAAACATCCTATTTTTCATGAGTGGGGCACTGTAGCGTTTCACGATCTGTTTCAAAGGAAACCCCACGACCAGCCAGCCTGCCCCGAGGTCCGGGAAGGCCTGGAGATTTCCTGACTCGTCCTGGCAACAGGCACCTGCAGAGAACGCGCCAGAGAGCGGCCCCGCGGACACACACTGCGGGGGAGGAACACAGCACAGCGCAGAGAAGAGGGACCCCGGGGCCAGGCGGGGCGCGGCTGCAGCCCGTCTGCCGTGCGCCAGCCGCGGGGCCTCCGAGCTCGGTTTTCCTTCTTTGCAAACTTGGGGGCGGCGAGGGTGTTGTCTTGACATCAGCAGCCTCATGGGGCGCTTGCAAAGATGAGTGAGGTGACATGCCCAGGGCTCTTCAGGGGCTCGGCATGCTGCCGAAAACACGACAGGCACCGGGACACGCCGCGCCCTAGGGAGCCACGCCGCCGCCGCAGCCAGAGCCGACGTCCAGCGCGCAGGGAAGAGGTCAGCGGGCGCACAGAGGCGGGAGGGCGCGGAGGACAGCCCGTCCGGCCCGGTCTGGTCCGGTCTGGTCCGCTGCGGCTGGACACGAACCGAGTGGGAAGATGCGGAAAAGAAGGTATAACCTGGTTGGACCTCCCGGGACGGTGGTGCAGGAAAGGGAGAAGGAAACAGCTCGGGCGGACGCGGAGGCGCGGGGTCGTGGGGAGTGAGCGGACTGAGCATGGCGGTGTCCCCAGCGCGCCGGCTGAAGGGGCGGGAGGACAGCTGGCGTGGGGACGCTGGGTGCCACACTGCGGGGCGCGGACTTCTGACCGTGAGGAGGAGCCACCGCGGGTTTGTGAACCAGAGTGAGGTTCTTGCAGCTTCGTTTCAGACCAGTAATCCTGACAGCAGGGCAGAGTCCAAGCGGCTACGGAGACGAGGGAAAGTCACACTGGACGCTCGGGCGACAAGGTCTCAGGGCAGAGCAGCGGCGGCGACCACGGCGAGGCTCGTACCACGACTCAGAGGCCGGGTCCGAGGACGCTGGCGCGGGACAGCAGGGGAGCGCGCGGCGGCTGGCGGCGCGGACGGGGTCGCTGGCCGAGGGACTGGGGATGGCGCGCCACCGCGCGCTCCGTGGCGTGTCCTGAGCGTCCAGCCCGCAACGTCACCGGCAGGCACACGCAGTCCTTGCCATCGAGCTGTTTATATCCTATAATCTAATCCCTTGTCCTCTGCATCCTTGGGCTCCCGAATCCTGGCCGACTTTCGTCTCCTCTCAGCAACTCCACGGCCCCTTGGCTTCCCGCGGCCGTGGGCGCTGCTGCAGACCTCGGGCTGCGGCGGGGCCGCCCTTCCTTGCAGCTCTTCCGGCTCTGCGCTGCGTCCCAGTTGGAGGGACGGAGTCTTGAAATATGTGTACATTTAAAAACAGGAGATTTATGATCAAGAAGAAAACCCAGGGTCATGTTAGATCTCTGACAATCCATTGGTATCAATTTATCCGCTCACAGGACACTAGTTCCCAGAGCACACCATCCGGAGGATATAAAGCTGGTCAAAACTGTGTGCTCAGTGTCCCTGTGCTCCCGGGTCACAGACGTAGCCATTGACCGGTTTCCATATTTATGATTCACAGTGTGGCAGTAACACAAAGCCAGGCAGACGGGGTGAGCGAGACATCAGCGAGCTGAGACCAGGAGAAAACCTGGGAAACCACAGCAGAAAGACGGACCGTGGCAGGAAAATTATATTCTATAATGACCAATAAAATTTTGGTTGTGCAAAATATCTGATTTATGCAATCTGCGCTGAACACACAACAGAGAGCAATCATCGTAAACCTAAAACTGCAAGACCACATACACCTGTCTTTCTTTTCCCCTGTCTGCAGAGCGCCGCTCGGATTTCCTTTTTTCCCCAAGTTTAAAAAGGAACAATTCACCACGGGGCCACACAAGCTGTGCCCGTAAACATGACGATGATACATAAAGAACCAGGCGAACAGGCACAGCAATTAAGGACAGAGCTGTGACGATTACTCATTCTAATTCCTTATCGTAATAAACAGTTTCCTCTCAGTTGTGTAAAAGGATCTCTGTAAATCCCTCACGACAGCAGGGCAGACATATTAAAACAAACTCCTTGAATGCCAAGCATTGGGACTAGTCAGTGCAAGAGGCGCTGGTGGGCGCTGGGATCCTCAGCCCCGACCTGGTGCTGCTCCGGGCACAGGGAAGCTCCGCCGCTGGGTCCCGTGTCAGGTCTTCGAAGGGCACACAGTCCCGCCCAGCCAGTCTCCGCCCAGCCGTGGGAGCTGGGTCTCTGGAGGGCGGCTCCCACGCGGGGGTGCGCATCACGCTACCTGGGGGGCTGCTCAAACACAGATGGGGGCACTTCCAGAGACCCTGAGCCGGAGCGGGGGCTGGAGGACTAGCATTTGAACAGGTACCCATGGGACGCGGACACCGCTCGCCCTGGGCCACACCCTGAGGACCGCAGCACAGGACCCGGACCACATCCTGAAGGGCACGGAAGGTGGCCGCCTGCTTTCTCTTTTGGGGTCGGCCGGGCAGCTTTGGGCCAAGGTGGGCGGGGCAGGGTGGGGGGTGGAGGTTGGTGAGTTGCTTTTGGAAACGGGGGTGAACGTCCCTGCCAACACGTCCCGTCTCCCAACGCCCGCCCTGCCGTGGACCTCCCTCTGCCTCTACGAAATTACCGTCCCACGGTTGAAAACCTGCTTTTCCTAGGCACTGTTTCCTGGCAAGGTTTGTCAGACAGCTCTCAGAATCCCCTCCCGGGACCCTTCAGCCGCCCTCTCTGCTGGGGCTCGCTCCTTTCGCCGACTGCGCGCACTCTCGGGACGCGAATGCGGCTGTCCAGCGAGGAACGGGAATGCCTGGTGCTGGTTTAAGTGAGTCAGAGCCCACGCCTCTGTCCCTTAACTGCGCCGTAGGTGGCCAGGCTGGCTCATCTGCAGGGACCTATGCTCCTGCTACCAACTATTCGGGTGCGTACGACTCTCACGTCCAAGGTCATCTGGCCCAATGGCCATGATGAGGGCCGGCTGTTCTAGCTTCATTTCAGCCCCCAGACCCGCGTTCGCATCAGCAGGAGGAAGAAACAACAGCAGGAGTCCTCCTTCCTTTAAAAACACTTGCCCAGGCCCTGGCCGGTGTGGCTCAGCCGGTTGGAGCGTCATCCCGTAAACCGGAAGGTCACAGGTTGGATTCCCGGCCAGGGCACACACCTGGGTTGCGGGTTCAGTCCCCTGAGGGGGCCCGTACGAGAGGCAACCAATTGATGTTTCTCTTTCACAACGATGTCTCTCTCTCCCACTTTCTCTCGCTCTAAAAACAATGAAAAAATGTCATTGGGTAAGGATAAAAAAATAAAAGCAAACTTTAAATACCAGCCCAGAATCTACAATTTATCACAAGATAAAAAACTCTACACAAAAAACAAGACCCCTTCTCCAAAGTGGCACACAAATCCAACCGGCCAGACTCGGTCCCACGGCCACGCCTCCCCCTACCGGGCCGTGGGGAAGGTCTAGCTTTTATTTGGGACGACTGTTTGCTGGGCGGAAATTCAGAGAGCTACTGACGGAAAAATGGAGACCGGAGACAGCTGACTGTCGCCGCCCCAGGCCCCAGCTTGTCCTGTCCCCGGCAGCCAGGGATCCTCTGGACTTTCCCAAATCGGCCGGAGGCGTCCCGTCACATTCAGAGTAAATCCAGGCTCTGCACTGTGGGATCCAGCTGCAGAGCCCTGTGGGATCTGGGCCCCAACCGCTGGCCTCCCGATGGCCACCCACGGCTGCTCCGGTCACCCACCACCACCCGCCACGTCTCCAACAGACCAAGCCCACTTCTGCCTCAGGGGTTCCTGCGCCTTCTGCCTAAATCTCTGCACAGTGGGCTCCCTTCCTGCTGCTTGGGCCTTGGGGGACCTTCCCGACTTCTAACGAAGCTACAGTTTCCGCTCCCTCCTGATTTATTATACAAATAATTATTCTTACTCCTTACAATGGCCGCATTTCCTTGTTGTTTATCTATCTCTTCCTTTTAGAAAGAGGACCTGGTGAGTCTGATTCACTGATGTCCCTCCAGGGGCTGGAAGGCTGCCTGGCCCCTGACAGCCCTCAGTCAACACCAGATGGAGACCGGAGGGGACCGAGCGTGATCCAGGCGCACCTTCGCGGTGCCCACGCCGCACGGCGCGGGGAGCGCACCTCTCCACGGACGGCAGCCGCCCAGATGAACCAGCTGCTTTTTATTTGAGTGTGAATCAGGGGCAGGAAAAGAATGGATTTTTTTTCTTTCCAGATACTCAGCCACTCCTCTGACTTCTCAGGCCGGCCCGGGGTTCCCTTGTCAGTGGCTGAACGTGCCTCCGTCTGAGCCTTCTGGTTTTAAGCGCCCAG